ATTTTCAAAAACACCAAAAACTCCAAAAATATTCTTCATTTTGTTTTAAAATTCAAAAACAAAAATTCCAAAAAGATTTTCTTATTTTTGTCTTTTTCATTTCAAAAACAAAAATCCAAAAATAATTTTTGTTTTTGTTTTGTGTGTTTAATGATTTTCTTGTAGTTCTCAATTGACATATTATGGTGTATATTACTTCGTGACTAGGGGACATGTATAATTTCGAATCTTTGCACTAGTTAGGTGTCCTTAGAAGCATGTTGTTGTATGTCACCTAAGCCTCATAGACTCAATGTGTTTCGAAGCCTTAATGGATCACTCGGTACGAGGGTTCCTTCCCAATCAGGCTATATTCACATTAGTTGACGAGCTACCTGTCTCTTCTCATTTTGAGTTAAGAGATTTATGTTATGTCCATATCATTTGCAGAGGTACACTATGTTTCTTAACCAATCTTTTTAATCAACTTATTTCTTCACGATACACACACTTCACTTGTGTATCCTCGACATCTCTAGTAGAAACCAATCAAAATGTTGATACTGCAAAAATCTATGTTCATGATCCTGATTCATGAGTCTGTGATGATGGTGAAACCCAAAATTCCCAACTCATCAAGGAATTGGCGGTGAACTTTAGGTTCAATATTTTCACAAAACATTTGTTTCAGTACCTTTCTTCGATATTCAAAATCATATTCCTTTTGTTATGCGTGATCCGGATAAAATGCTCTTTACCCAATAAATTTTTGCCCAACAGGATCCAACACTTATTTTTTTGGAATATGATTTCCGTCTGAATATCATTCCTAACCTTTGTCACTTACAAATTTGTCTTAGCTTCGCTTTTCCCTGACTACACTGGTCATACAAGTAATTTTGATCATTAAATTCACACTTATGTTAAGTTGTGATCATGAACAAATTAAGCCTACCTTGGAAGTGTAAGTAAAAGAAACCCTTCGATACTCATTTACGAGTATTTGATTGTAATTCACGGGATATCACACAAGCAGTTCGATATCTCTCTTGATATTGAATGAAGTGATCTTTACCTGGGATCCATTTGTTTTTACATCGGATGTTTATTTGATGTCACTATTCGCACATTTGATTATCTTGTTTCCCTCTATATCTTTGGTAGACATTTGCACAGAAATCCTCGAGGTCTTGGGTAATACCAACTCAAACCTAGATTTTGCAAGTTTGGCTATGATTTCGTTTCTCATCCCAAAGCGAATGAGCCCTGCCTCGAAACAAAGGTTCAGTAACGGTTCTTATCCTCTTGGGGCACACAAAACGATTGATTGATGTGATGGTTTGGTTACTTCAAAATTTTCCAAGAAAAAGTGCTCATTACTTTTCAGAAGTGGTAACTTTTACGGAAACTGGCTCACTTTCCTAGGATACACGTGGCAGAATTTCATTGATAGCTGGTTCAAATTCAAATTGTGTCCTAGGTATATAAGGAATTTGGGGGTCTCAAATCAAAACTTTACGCATCCTAGTTGAATATTTTCCCCAAAATCTTCTTCCTTATACTTATCTCTTCACACAATTCAACAAAACCCTAACAATGGCAGCACAAACTGGTAATGTTGAACCATCACAAAATACTGATGAAGCTTCATCTCGACCTCTATAAGATTCAGAGTTCTAATTATCAAGTTCAAACAGGCCTTTCCAAGTACCCATAAGAGCTACAATTATCAAGTTCAAACAGGCGTTTCCAAGTACCCAGAAAAGCTACAAATGACTTGGTTATTCATGGATGGTTCTATTGTTGTGTTAAATAAAATCTCCAAAGTTGTGACGTTTCAGCTTACAGACGAAAAGAATTATAAGCTCACGAAGAAACACTTTGCACATATTATGAAACTTCCAACCACTGGTCCGTTTTATGAAGTGATGAATGACCACGTGATACATATGTTCAATGACATGGGTCATCAACTCCCACTCACCAGAATCAGTCAGTTTAAGAAGTCTTCTTTGCCCTGTATCTTGAATTTTCTATTTGGGATTTTTCTTCGTTGTCTCACAGGTCGGAGTGTCGGTCTTAACAAATCCAAGTTGGATATATATGTATTGAGTGTTGGGTTATACTATGATTTAAGTGTGGATTATGCTACACAATTATGGGAGAAATTCGGGACTGGTATCTCACACACCAATGTTGCAAATGGTGTTTCTTGTGCTAGATATTGGAGTTTGATTCTACAAGAGATGTACGAGAAAGATGGAATTTTCGTTCCATCTGATGCTCCAAAAGCAGAGTTCTCGATCTATCAACATCTGAAAAGTGTTGAAGATGATCCCATAGGTTCCCTTCAGTAGCACGAATTCCTAATGTCATGCTTCGAAAAGTGGATACAAGTAATCCAGTTCTTGTTACTTATCTGTCAACTGTTAATTTTGATGTGCAAATAGGGGTTTTGTTGCCCAAAGGAATTGAAGGTACTTCGAAACATGGTAAAGGGTCAAAGAAATCCACAAAGGTTGCACAACCTAAGTCTGATCATGTACCAAGGTTACAAAGTCTAATCAAGATCCTGTTGTTCCAGAACTAAGAAGCCAACACGCAAACCTTGTCATTCACCAAAAAGGCCTATAGTTGAATAAGTTCCTGAGAAGTCTTTTTCTTCACCCAATGAGGATTTTGTATCAAAGGGGTGTGGTCATTCGAGAAATTTCTGCTCTTGTTTCTCCTGCTTCAAAGAAACAAAGAGCACATGCCATGGTAAAGAATATCAAAAAGAAGAAGAGCATGATCGGCTCATTAAGGCTCGTCATCTAAGCTCATTAAAAACTATGGGAGACTAAGAAAATAGTAATTGTCTTTCTTCATTTGAGCTCGTTAAGCATATATGAAGCTCTAGATCAGCTCGTTAAGGATCATTAAGGCCCGTATGTTCGTGAAGCATATTAAAGATCGGGATTGACTCGTTATTTTTTCATATTTTATTAATATATAAGTAATAAATTATAATATATAAAATATAAATATATTATTAAAAGCTCATTCAAGCAGTGCAGGCTCGAAATCGGGCTCGTTTATTAAATGAGCTTTATTCTAGGCTCAAGCTCAGGCTCGGCTCGACTCGTTTCGAGCTTTTAACGATCCAATCTCTGATAGTTCACGAGTAGCTCGACTCATTTAATTACATCCCTATAAGCAACGTGATTCTCTTTCAAATAGTTTCTTAACTCGTTATATCCGAGTTGCTACCTCCAGGTTTAAGTAAATCGTCGAAAAAATCATTGGCATCATCACTCAACGACTTTTTGACGAATTTCTTCTTGAGAATATTTCATTGTCGAATCTTTCCAAGTAGTCCTAAACAATTTTTCCATCCTCATCTAATCTCCCGAACCATTTGATGTGCTTTTAACTCATAAAAAGTAATTTGAGAATATTTGATGTGAGAAGTGGTGATGATTGTCGGCATGAACATCTTGCAGTCCAGCTGATTTCTCATTTTTATGGTATGTTTGTTCTTTACGATTTACATTTATCTGAATAATGCATATTGTTGAACATCATGTATACATAGTTTTAGGGACAATTGAAACCTGTTAGACAAAAGGTACTAAACCAAAGCTTTATTTCCTAATGTAGTGTTTGGTATGATGAAATCTTTGCTTCAAATAGTTAGTTCAGTTTATGTGGTATAAGCCATTATATTCACATATTTATTACAAAAGTAATTTGGTTTCTCCTATAAACTATAAGAAAGATAAACTAATAAGACAGCTAAGAAGATAAATATTAGAGCTGAAAGTACATTGCTTTATATTGAGGGAACGTACATTGCTACTTCTTGCAATTATCCCTTTTTCCAATATTATTGGAAAATTGATAGATTGTTATAATCTTAGATATATTCCAAGAAGTTGTGGCTACGTCCTTATAAAGTTCTTGTCACGTCATCTTACAAAGCTCTAATTGAACCAATTCCAGGTTCAATATTCATCCATTTTTTTTAATTTTGGTTTGAAATAGAAGCATCTCTAAAATTTACTCAACTTGAGTTTATTGTAGGCATGAATTCATTCTATAAAAAGTAGATTCCCCAATATTGCGAGCTTGCATAACTTTTTTGTAGCCAAATTACTAGATAATAAAATGTCTGTCTTAAAAGAGTGAAAATTATCAACTTTGCGTTCAATAGTTTCTTTGCTACTCAAATTTGGTAATGGAACTGGTTTAGTTTAATTGAAATTAACATGGGATCTAAGAGCAACGTTTTTGTACTTTATAATATGTAAGGGCGTCTTTTGTAATCTAAGAGCAATTTTTTTCCATTCATGTTCCATTATTTGTTAAAAAATCCACATGTGTGACAATTCCTTTGACAGATTATTATACTGGTGTACTTGTTTTTTTTGTAAATCGTAATGTAAAGAAACTTTATACGGAGTAGTTATTTATTGTTTATCATCAATAGCAGTATGTAGTTTTATGTTCTATGTATCATCTACATGCAAAATGTAGATCGGACCTTATGCAATGGAATATATGAATGTTACAAAGATTAATGCTCTCTAATAACAGTCGGTAAGTAAAAAATACGATAAAGAAAAAACCAACCTAGTTGCGTAGCATGAGGTTGTTTACTAGTTTTAACTAATATTAATGGTGTTTATTAAATGCTAACGTTTTTTAAATTTAATCATACATATTAAGCATACTTTATGATTTTCTATTGGTAATCCATTAGCCATAGAAAAATGAAATAATCAAATGATAAACGCATATCGACTAATACTTAACACAACCACACACTTACAAAGACTCAAACATGAAACCATGGTCTAGGATGCCATTAAAACAGACATCCTAAACTAGGATAAACAAAGATGATGTCTTTATAAAAAAGTCTATTGTATTCCGAAAATAACTCATATGGAAACAAAATTCATGTTCAAAAGAACCAAACAGTCTAAAAAAAGGATGAAGATAATTATAAGAAAAAGAAGATACAGTAACCGAAAACAAACCTAAGCAGTAAGCAAAACAGCACCACCAGCCTCTTTAATCTTCTTCTCCGCTGTCTTTGATATAAGCTTCGCCTTAACAACCATCGGATGCGACGGAGGCACCATACCTTTCCCTAAAACCTTGAAGAATCCGTGCTGTGTTACATCGACAACAGGGACCTTGTCGGCGGAAGCATTCTCTCGCACGTCCTGAGGAACCATGGACCAGAGCTTGTCCACGTTGACGATGGGGCAATAGAACTTGTTTCGTAGCTTGTGGAAGTACCTCATTCCAACTTTACCGAAGTACCCTGGATGATATTTGTCGAAGAGGATACGGTGGTGGTGCATTCCTCCGGCGTTACCCCTACCTCCTGGATGCTTCCTGTGTTTTCCGATACGGCCATGTCCGGCACTCACGTGACCCCGCTTCTTGCGGTTCTTCCTGAGTCTGGTCGTCATTCTGCCCTAAAGCGCCCAAAAGGATTTCAAATCAACAATGAAAACGAGTATGTGTATATGAATGTATTGAGATCTAACATAAAGTTAACCATTATAAGAATTTGATACGCATAACAGCTACAGAATCATAATTGGATAGCTGATGAAAAGAACAGTAGATAACTATGAATACCTGAAAGGAAAACTCCGGCTACAGGCGGCAGCGTCGACGCTAGGGCAGAGTATCTCAGCTACATAAATAGGAACCCTAACTCGATTTATAGCCTATAAAAGATCCAATTGATATCTCTTCGTGGGCTTATGGCTAGTGCCGAACTGCCGATTCTAATTTGGGTTGTGGGCCTAAAGTAGACTAATAAGACCAATTCCAATCATAACAATAAAATTTTATATATTTTTGTTGAAAATTTATATAAATTATAACTCAAACTCCTAACAGTCCAACCACATATTAAAAATATATTTTAATGTTATAATTGAAATATAATAATTATAATAATTTCAGAAAATTTAAAAGGCCACTTAAATCGTAAAGTGGTTTTTGGTGTTGGTTGACCTCTATATGTGGAGGCATTATTCATCTACACAAAAATGATGTAATTGAAGGTTTGTTGGAATATAAATGACCTCTAAAATGGTTTGGAGGTCCATTGGAAATTGGAATTGGCCTAATATGTTTAATTACCAAAATAGGTATGGGAAGCGATTCACTATTCATTTCAGGTTAAGGCTATGGGGAGTGGTTACACTCATCCCACCGGAAAAACGCAACAAATGTGCGCTATGTCAGCTTCACATCCAATTCACCACCAACCCACTAAAGATTGGAAATGGTTACCACTCCACAATATTTATCAATTTTTAATATTAAATTAAATAAAAAAAACATAATTAATAAAAACATAGATAATAATAATAATAATAATAATACAAAAGTCTAGGGTGAAATTTATACATTTTATAAATTATTTTTGAGGAAGAAAATTAAAAAGGTTGTTTCTGCTTTTGATCCAAACTCAAGGGACTATAACTGACAATTGTTGAAAATGTGTCTCCTTCTTCTTGATCTAAATGACGTCTCCATTCCTCCATTTCAATACCTGCAACTGTGATTTTTTTCAAGTCTGTGGGGAGTGAATGATTTTTTTTATTATTTTTTTAATTTGTTAACTGTCAAATGGTGCCCCAAAACGGACGAAATCAATTTCCACCAATTAAAGCCTCCGTCTTCTTCCGTCTTCCCACTCACGCCACAGCCAAAGCACCGGTCTTTGGGACGGTGTTCACGCGTGGGACTGCCAAATCAGCATTCACGCGACTTGAAGAAGCCCCATAGCGGGTAACCTAAGCAAAATCATTTTCTAAGTTTTCATATTTTCAGTTCTGTTTTCATTTTCCTCCCTTTATTTTTATTTGTTTTTATATTTTGTAACCCTAAAGTAATTTTGATATAATAATCTTTATAATTTTAAAATTTATAAATATTTATATTCTTTCTCCTTAATTAATTTTTATTAACAGTTTTCACCCTTTATAATTTTAAAGTTAAAATATTAATATTTTATGCATTATAATTTTATCCCTTACTACATTTTGAAGTTACATTTTGGCCTCTTATATAATTTTTTAATAATCTTTTCTTTTATTAATTTCTTAAAAATACACTTTCAAGTCAATTGTTTGTATCCATATTTTATTTTGATATTTTTTGTACTCCACTTTATATGATTTAATCGTCTCCGTTAGGGGTGAGCATTTTGACCGGTGGACCGGACCGGACCGGACCGTTTTTTTGGACCCTCGGGCCGGTTCTCGGTTCTAAGTTTTCTATCCGGTCTGGTCCGGTTTTTTTCCCGGTTCGGTCCGGTTTTTACCGGGTCCAGAACCGGTTGGACATGGTAAAAAAAATAGTTTGATCGGCCTTATTATACCAGCACTAGCAAAAGCGACTTTCCCTTTCCCATAACACGTAATAGCCGATAATTTCCAAACCAAAAAAAACTCCTTCGATGTCGATCATCTCAAATCGCAAATTGTGCCTTCCCTGATTATCTCAAGTCGCAAATCGGCCCTTCTCCTTTCTGATTTCTGAATCGCAAGCAATAGTCGATAGTGAAGCCGCTCCAATCGCAAGTCGCAAGTAGCAACTCGTTTCTCTCAAGTGTCGATTCTCCCTCTCTCAAGTCTCAACTCTCAAGTGTTAATTCAAGCTTTCTGTGAAACTCAAGTCTCGATTCACAATTAATGGAATCAAAAATCGGGATTGCTAATTGGGTTGCACTTGATGATGATGAAATTCAAGTAAGGGTTACGATTTTTGGTTGTTTTTTTGTTAATTTTTGTTGAAATAACAAATAATATTGTTATATTTAGTTGAATACTTGTCAAAACAAAATTATTGTTATTATATGTAAACTAAGGTTATGTTTTTTGGTTGAATTTTGTTAATATTTGTTGAAAATTATAAAGTATGTTGCTATATTTTGTTGATTAATTGTGAAAAAGTTTGTGTTTTGATTGTATGTAAACTAGGGTTATGATTTTTTTTGTTGATTTTTGTTAATTTTTATTGAATGTCATAAAGTATGTTGTTATATTTAGGTTATTTGTTGGTAAAAAAAAATTTATTGTGATTGTATGTAAACTAAGGTTATGTTTTTTGGTTGAATTTTGTTAATATTTGTTGAAAATTATAAAGTATGTTGCTATATTTTGTTGATTAATTGTGAAAAAGTTTGTGTTTTGATTGTATGTAAACTAGGGTTATGATTTTTTTTGTTGATTTTTGTTAATTTTTATTGAATGTCATAAAGTATGTTGTTATATTTAGGTTATTTGTTGGTAAAAAAAAACTATTGTGATTGTATGTAAACTAAGGTTATGTTTTTTGGTTGAATTTTGTTATTTTTTATTGAAAGTTATAAAGTATGTTGCTATATTTTGTTGATTAATTGTGAAAAAGTTTGTGTTTTGATTGTATGTAAACTAGGGTTATGATTTTTTGTTGATTTTTGTTAATTTTTATTGAATGTCATAAAGTATGTTGTTATATTTAGGTTATTTGTTGGTAAAAAAAACTATTGTGATTGTATGTAAACTAAGGTTATGTTTTTTGGTTGAATTTTGTTATTTTTTATTGAAAGTTATAAAGTATGTTGCTATATTTTGTTGATTAATTGTGAAAAAGTTTGTGTTTTGATTGTATGTAAACTAGGGTTATGATTTTTTGTTGATTTTTGTTAATTTTTATTGAATGTCATAAAGTATGTTGTTATATTTAGGTTATTTGTTGGTAAAAAAAATATTGTGATTGTATGTAAACTAAGGTTATATTTTTTGGTTGAATTTTGTTATTTTTTATTGAAAGTTATAAAGTATGTTGCTATATTTTGTTGATTAATTGTGAAAAAGTTTGTGTTTTGATTGTATGTAAACTAGGGTTATAATTTTTTGTTGATTTTTGTTAATTTTTATTGAATGTCATAAAGTATGTTGTTATATTTAGGTTATTTGTTGTTAATATATATATATATATATATATATATATATATATATATATATATATATATATATATATATATTGTGATTGTATGTAAACTCAGGTTATGTTTTTTTGTTGATTTTTGTTGAATGTCATAAAGTATGTTGTTATATTTTGTTGATTAACTGTGAAAACATTTTTGTTGTGACTATATGTAATGTAGGATACGAATGTTGATGAAGAGGAATTTATTGAGGAACACCACAAATCAATTTAGTTTATGATTCGGCAAAAGATGATCAATCAAATGTTAACAAACGAAAAAGAACAAATAGCAAAAAAAAAAAAACAAATAGCAAAACGAAAATAAGTCACAAAAAAAAAAAAAACAAGTGGCAAAGAAACATCCTCTTGCTGGGACTCATTTGATAAAGTTATGATAAAAGAGGATGATGGTATGGAAAGAAGATATGGAAAATGTCAATGGTGTGAAAGGCTACTAAAGGCGGATGTGGAAAGAAACTGGACTTCTAGTTTACTCAAACACGTAGATCGGTGTCAAAAAAATGGATAAGCTACAAGATCCAACTCAAACCAAATTGAATCTAAAAAAGGAGTCAAATGGAGATACTAGTGTTAAAACATGGAAACACGATGATACAAGGATCAAAAAAGCATTACTTAACCTTTTTGTGTTAGGCGAATTACCTTTCAAGTTCGTTGAAAACGAGGCTTTTGTGGAATACACCAATGCACTTAATGCTAAGGTTGTGTTGCCATCTAGACATACAATATCCCGAAATGTTTCCAAATTTTACATAGAAGAAAGAACCAAAATGCTTCAATTTTTAAGTAACCCAAAGACCACTATACATTTGACAACAGACACTTGGACGTCTTCTTGTCAAAGGACTACTTACATGGTGGTCACGGCTCACTTCATAGGCGAGAATTGGATGATGCACAAGAGAATTATAAACTTTAGGGAGATAGATAGCCATAAGGGAAAGGATATGGGCCGAGAATTACTCGATTGTATTCGTGGATGGGGAATGAAAAATGTCATGACCATTACCTTGGACAACGCCGCTACAAACGACAAGGCAATTGACTTTTTGGTCAAAAAGTTGCCCAATCTTTACGAGGGTGGAAAGCATTTCCAAGTTAGGTGTATGGCTCACATTTTAAACCTTATCGTAAAGGATGGACTAAAATACCAAAACTATCATGTTGAGTGTATCCAAAAGGCGGTACGGTACATTAGATTGTCACCACAAAGAATAAACAAGTTCAAGAAGGCGATGAAAGATTGTGACTTACAAACGAAGAAGTTTCTATGTGGTGACACTCGTACCCGATGGAACTCGACTTTCGAGTTATTGAAGTCCGCATATGAGTTACGAGAGGCATTTACGGAATTTGGCATAAGAGGTAATATTTATTTTTAAGTTATATATCATCTTTTCAGCAAAATTATTAAGATTTTGTTTAGACTATAATTTTGTTTGTTTATGTATCTTTGACAGATAAATCATATGAAAGGGATCTCGATAGAGTACCGGAAAATTATGACTTTGAAGTTGTAACCGAAATGGTGAAATTCTTTGAAAAATTCAAAACAAAAACAGAGTTTGTTTCGGCTACATCAAAACCTTTGGTAAATCTTTTTATCAGGGAAGTCTTAGATGTGGACATACATCTAAGAAAGTGATCAACCAAACCAATGTTTCTCGATATGGTAAAAGATATGAGGATGAAATATGACAAGTATTGGGGTGCATACAACAAAATGAATGATTTTATGTACTTTGCGCTTTACTTGATCCTACCACCAAATCACCTTTTTTGTTACATGCTTTTAAAAAAATGATCGGGTACATGGAACCATCATTGACCCCCGCGAGCATGGACATAAAAGCACGTCAAATGGTCCGAGAGGTTGAGAATAGGATGGAAAATTTATTTATGACCTACTTGGAACGATTTGACAACAGTGGATCATCTCAACAAGAAGCGAGTCAAATAGCCATTGATGTTGATGATGATAATGATTTTTTCAGTGATTTTCTTTGTACAGGAGGTAGCAACTCGGATCCAACGGATAACGAGTTACGAACTTATTTGAAAGAGAATATAGTTAATTATAAAAAAAGATTTCTCAATTCTCGGGTGGTGGAGAGTAAACGCAATTAGGTTCCCAACAATTGCTCGGATGGCGAAAGGTGATTACTTTTTTTAGTCTTTCATAATTTATTTATAAATTAATGTTGTTATAATTTAATTCTTTGTTTTTAGATATATTGGCGATACAAATCTCAAGTGTAGCGTCCGAGTCCGCATTTAACACATGTGGTAGAGTTGTAAGTGAGTATTTGATTAGTTTATCGACGTTGATAGTTGAAGCTTTGTTATGCACCCAAGATTGGGTGAAAAAGTCTACAAATCCGATAATTGACAACGTTGATGACATCTTAAACGATGATGATATAGCTTTGGGTAAAAAAATTACAAGCTTTGTTCTTTTTTTATACAATTATTACTTTTTATTAAATACTAACAACATTTTCATTTGTGTTTATGTAGAGATTGCACAAGCTTTAAATATATTACATATTGATGACAATGATAAGGGGAAGAAGCCAATGGAAGATTAGATTATGAGTTTATGAAGTTTGTTATTTTGATTGCTTTTAAAGTTTAAACTTTAAACTATGTTTTTTGTTGCTATGGTATTATTGTTGTATGTTTGTGTTTAAATTGTTAACTTTTGTTGGTGAACTTGAATTATATGTTAGTTGATTTTATTTGGAAAATTAAGTTTGCAAGTTTTAATATTATACATCAATGTAGATTACTTATACTCTATGCAACTAAAGTTGTACCGGTCCAAACGTGTCCAAAAACCGGAAAACCCGGACACGGACACGGACACGGACACGATGCATCCGGTCCGATCCATGGTCCACAATTTTCTCCATAACCGGTCTGGTCCAAGAGTCAGTCCGGTCCGGTCCAAATGCTCACCCCTAATCTCTGTGGTATCTATGGTATCAAACTACATTTTTTAACATACCGGAGCTTCCGCAGCAACGCACGAATAATCCAAACCCTAGTTTTTCTTTATATTTCATTTTTTTAATATAAAATTAATCTGATTTTTAGGCTTTTCTCTCAATCTTCCGCTAGCTTGGTTTCTCGCAAACTGACCATGTTAGTTGACATATGACAAAAACGAAGTGACATTAACACCGCAATGTTTTGTTCGTTCCACACAACTTACCATATTTTTATATTTGTTCTACAGCTTGACAAATACAAAAACATGTTACTTTCATTAATTTTGTCTCACAGTTTTATGTTTTATTAATCTTAATTACTTTATAAAGCATTTTTGATCAAATGCTGAATTTTAAATCGTACAAACATACAATGCATTTGTATAATCAATTTATGTATTACAAAAAGAGTAGAGTACATATGATCAACAGTTGAAAAGGTTAAATCTTTTATCCCCTATTCTTAGGCTATTTTGATCCAGTTCAATCCTTATCTCTGTATTTCCCTGAATCTCGCAATTTCTATTTACAAATCTTGGATATATATCGCTGACGTTTCCATTTTCTCGCAATTTCTATTTACAAATCTTGGATATATATCGCTGACGTTTCCATTTCTAGGGTTTAATTCATCTTTCAGCATTCAACCAACATTGTCACACCCGTCGCTTGGCATGGGTAAACGGCTATTATACTAAATAGACAATTTATTTTTAAAGCTCACATGATTAAAAAAAAATCAGTATATCACTGGACAATGTCTCTAGTAGTAAAAGCATAGTAAAAGGTTAAGCAACCCATTCAGGAGGGGCGTCTTTTCATACACGATGTGTTGCTTACATGATAAATTATCTGTTCAAGTGGACTTGACAAGACCATTGATGAATTTAGTAAAAAATGCTATGAATTATTGTTGCAAGTAGTTTACGACAACAGAAAACATTAAAATTATTTTATGACAAAATAAAAGGGAATAGATTGGCATCCAAAGAGAAACATACCACCTACATGTGAAACACTCCTAGTAACTTTTATTAAAAAAAAAAAAAAAAAAAAAAAAAAAAAAAAAAAAACAATTGTGCTACAATCACGTTCTGTGGAACAACAGAAAATATATCCATAACAAGTTGTAGTCTTAGAAAAATATCCTACAATAAGTTAAGTGTAACTACTCTACCAATGCCCTTTCCCACCAATAGGAACCGTGTTTGATCCCGAGATCATACCTCGGTTGCCATACCCACCACCACCACCACCTCGACCCCTCGATCTAAAGTTCCCACCAGAACCTATTAATTAAAACAATATTTTTTATCATAAAAATAAATATTAATTAAATAAAGCGTTCGAAAGTTAAGTTTTGAAAATTGACTTACCTCCACCACCGGTTGACCGGGTCATAGAAGACAATGCAAGAGGAACAGCTTGACCAGCTTCTTGAAGAATCTTAACAAGCTCTCTTGCGTGTTTTGCATTTGAATGTGTGAAAAAAGTAACAGCAATTCCTTTAGCTCCTGCACGCCCAGTACGCCCTATCCTATGAACATAGTCTTCGAGGCTTGATGGGAAATCATAATTGATCACGCATTTTATGTCCTTCACATCTACGGTTTTCAATTCAATATAACAACAGATTAAATTTAAAATTAACTCTTTAGATATGGAATTGGAATAAAATGGCAACCTTATCCCATTCATTCCCTGCTTTTCTTTCAAATCTCATAATCCAATTCCAATTCCAATTCCAACCATTTGTTTCTCTGAGTCAACCGGGCTGTCACCTCATAACCGTGGATGGGCCGCGAGGCGATGAAATGTCTAAAAATCACAACTACTTGCATCATACTATTTCTACCTATTACAGCATTCTACTTTAAGAAGTACAATGCTATGTTACTATGTTGTAATTAAAAAAAATGGAAGTGGGATGCTATAATACAAAGATAAAAGAAGTATATGTTTTATTTCTTACATTTAAGCCCTTAATAAGGAGAGTCCACTTCTGCGTAGAACAGAATGAACTTAAGGTTGCTACTCAAATTAATTTTTCAGACATGTAAAGAGGGGTGTCAAGTGTAGCTGGATAATTTCACATTTACCTCAATCGTCTAAATTCGACTATGAAGTCGAAATCAGCTTTAGAACTAGAAGCACATCCAAACACCCCCTTAACAACAAAAAGATAATAATAATACAGCAACTACATGACACTTTGTCAAACTATGACTTCAGTGTCAACAGCAGCATGATCGCATGATATAAAACCTAAAACAAAAGTAATAATGTATAGTGTAATTTACAAAAAAAATAGCAACATACTTTACTCTTTTTACCAATTTAGACAATATACTCCATTTTTTACCCATACTTAAGTTTTTTCTACCCATTTTAGCCTTTTGCTTATATTTTTTACCTATGATAACAACATCTAATCCAAAATTGCAGGACATTGCTATTATTAGTGAATATTGAAGAAATAAAGGAATGTTGTTATGCGTAAAAAATTGGTAAAAAGGATAAACTATGTTGCTATTGATAGTTAGTAGTAGTGTATTATGTGTTGTTGGATTATAATTTATACCAAAGAATCCTAGGGGAGTTTAACCTCAAAGATTTAAAAAAACCTAAACCTAAACCTAAGGGAACCATATTTCAGTTAACCTCGATCTTAGGTTAAAACTTCCTAGGTTATTATATTAAGTTTTTTCCTAAAACTTTATGAAGGATTCTACGCATACTGGAAATGAGATGGGAAAAGAGAAGTGGAAATGATGCAGATGCAGCCTCCGTGTGTATAGAATAGATGATGTTCCTCTGAGTATTTGTGGGAATTGTGGTGTTGTATATATACTGAATCCCTTCCCCTTTGGCACCCAAACCACAAATTATTTTGTCAGGTAAAAGTAGACAGCAGCCGGCGACTCCCATATTCCCATAAGTTTAATGACCTAAAAACAATTCATCCTACCAAGACCACGTGCAGCAACATCAGTGGCTGTCATTATAAGACTCCTTCCACTTTTAAACTCAGCCAACACCCAATCCCTTTCACTTTGGCTTTTATCACCATGGATGGATAATGCAGGCCATCCATCCATTCTAAGTTGTCTTGTCACTTGATCACATCCTTTTTTTGTTTCTACAAATATTAGGATTCTGCTTCCATCCATCATTTCTTTCAGAACTCCAATAAGCCTGTGTCAGTGTCCATAGAACTTCAATTACCCAAAAAAAAAAAAAAAAAAAGGGGGACACTTTTCTTTTCTTCATGTAAAAACTAAAATGTAGTATTTTTTTTATACCTGCTGTACTTCTCCATGTCTGTTACGACTTCAATAACCTGATTTATTGCCTGATTGGCTTTCAGAACAGGGGATCCGATGATCACCTAATGAGTTCCATGTTTATAACAAGATCAGTTAAGCAATTTAAAACTACGCTTCTCTTTTACTTAATGTTTCTTTTTTACTTCATCAGGGTAGAATCACTTAATTTGTTAAGCCTCGAACCCTTGTTTAATGTATGAAGAAGACACCAATAGTTTACCTATTTTACTTTCTTCTTTTTCCTACAAACTCCTCTCACGTTATAACTGATGAGCATTGTTAAAGATTTTTATTTAGTCTCGTTTTCCAAACAGTTTATTATGTCTAGA